TCAGTTTCTAAGCCAAGGTAGAAATGGAAAGAGGCCAATTAGTATTTCATTCACATCAAAGCTACACCGTCGCATTATCACACAATTACAGGGCTAGTTGTTATACGTGCAAAGGTGTGTGAAGTAGCTTTAGACAGATTCCCAAGTATAGCTAACTTTGATGCCTGAAAGTGGAAGTACCTATCATTTTCACCTCTGTTATTTAGGCACATCTATAGGGAACTCACTTAGACATACTAATAGGAACTCAAGTGATCATCAGTAGCTATTAAAATGTTCACAAACAGTTAAAAAGTTAAGAAGACAGTGTTTATAGGCAGGCTAAATAGGGCAAAAAAGAGTCAAGTGCTGTTTAATTAACAAAAGGACAGAAATTTAATTATTGATCCTGGAGAGTATTGAGACATTAAAGTGGCAGATTTAAAATTATGCATTACCCTTTTTTTCTTTTGAAAACAATAACACCTCATGCATAGTTGATAGATACGTGTTAGGTAGAGCTAAGCGAATTTTCTATTTTTAGGAAAAGAAAAAAGACATTCAATGCCTTTTTTTCATTTTTTAAATTTTTTCTTTTTTTTTTAAATTCTTTCCCTTCTAATAAAAAAAGTAAAGGACTAAAGAAACCAAAATCCTTTAGTTTTTTGGATTTTTTTGTTTTTTCAATTTTTCGTTCTTTACTTGCAAATAAAAAAGTAAAAAGGAAACCATAATCATTTTTCAATTTTTTTTGTTCTTTGCTTGCAAATAACAAAGAAAAAAAAAGAAACGGAAATCTTTTTTCACTTTTTTGATTTTTCAATTTTTTTAAAAAATGCTTTTTCTACTAAAAAAAGAAACCAAAATATTTTTGTGCTTTTTTTATTTTTTATTTTTTTGTCAATGTTTTTTGTTTTTTGCTTGCAGATAAAAAAGAAAAAAAAGAAACGAAAATCTTTTTCCACTTTTTTTTATTTTTCAATTTTTTTAAAATTCTTTTCCTACCAAAGAAAAGTAAACGAAAAAAAAAGAAGCCAAAAATTTTTGTGCTTTTTTGGCTTTTGGATTTTTTTGGTCTTTTTTTTCAATGTTTTTTGTTCTTTGCTTGCAAATAAAAAAGAAAAAAAAAAGAAACGGAAATCTTTTTTCACTTTTTTGATTTTTCAATTTTTTTTGAAAATTCTTTTCCTACCATAGAAAAGTAAACGAAAAAAAAGAAGCCAAAATCTTTTTTGCTTTTTTGGATTTTTTGATTTTTTCAATGTTTTTTTAGCAAATAAAAAAGGGAAAATAAAAGAAGAAACCAAAATTTTTTTAAATTTTTTTGTTTTTTCATTGTTTTTTGAAATTTCTAATTCTCTTCCTAGCTAATAAACAAATAAACCAGTGAAAGAAATTGAAACTTTCAAACCTGTTGTTGAGCTTTGCCCGCCAAATCCTCTGCAACTCTGGAAAGGGTCCTCAAGTTCAGTTTCACGATCGTATCCACAAAGGCACACGTCTCTTCTTTCGTGTTCGCCTTGGCCGCATCAATCACGCAAGTCTCCACAACCACCGTCTCATCGCCGCCATTGGGGTGTAGGCTCATGATCGAGCGATAATTCGACAACCGGTGGTCGCCGCTGACAATGCTGAACCCAAAGATGCGTTGATCATGATCAAGAATCTCGAGCCGCTCGATGCTATAGGAGGCTGGAAGTCCTGACGCGACATCCACACGGCGTAAGCATCCGACTTGGTTCGCCTGACCATCTATGATTCTGCAGGATCTCACGAACGGCTTGTAGCGTTGAGGATTTTCAAAGTCGGAAACCAGAGCCCAAACGACGGAGGCAGGAGCTGCGATAGTTTGGAACAAAGTAGATGAACATTCGTTCGGCTGCAAAACAGGGTTGTGGTGGCTGGAAACGGTTGTGGGAAGCTGAAAAACCATGGTTGTGGGCGGGGGCGTGGGAGGGAAATTTTTTAACAATATCTTCAACGAAAACGATGGAGGAGTTTCTCTTCTGTGAGGAAGTTAGAAGAATAGTGACTGTGTATTTATAGGCGTAGGAGAAATTGCTCCAATTCCTAAGAGGAGAAGGATTATTACCAAAATAAGGAAGGATTAGGATTTTGATTTCCTATGTGGAAAAGGATTGGATATCAGGTTCAAAACCTCGTTAGAAGTTAGAATTGGCAGTGGCGGCTGGCTGGAGAACCATCCGTTTTGCCAAATTTGGGTTAATTGAATTACGCCATTAACAATTGGGTAAAATACAGAAAAGCTCCTTGAGGTTAAGTGAACATACAAAAAAAACCCCTATAGTTTCTAAGCATACACTCCGATAACTTATGGTTTGAACTAATTTAAAAAAGCGATGGAAATCGTTTGAATTAACGGGTTTGAAATACACACGCTTCTTTTGTGAATATTTGTACTGGAAACAATCTCTTGACATAATTTTGTATATTTAATATTCCTTTTATATATATTAATATATTTTGACAAATAACTCATAAGTATTAGTATTATATTTTTAGATATATAATTATATATATCAAAATATGAATATATTATATATAATTATATATATATATGCATATTAAAGAGTCAAGCATATATCGGGTTTGACCCTAATAAGGCCCAAACTCTTCTCACATTTAATTTGGAACTAATATTCAGACCCAATTTCAATCCAACTCAATGAAAGGCCAGGCTCATTAGACATTTTCTCCGAGTCAAGTTCAAACTAACTCGACCCCAATTGATAGTCCTAGAAGGATTGCCTCAGATTTTCGTGCTAATTCATTTCCCTCTCAAAATGAGTAAGAAAGGGAATTTGGGGATCAGATGATTAGAGTGGGGGCTTGCTTGGTTGGATAGATTAATTTGGTAATTTTGATTATGACATGTTTTTTATTAGATATTAGGAATATGTGAATTTGCCAAAATTTATATGCCTTTAAGAATTTTAAATCTTTCTAATACTATTCCTCAAAGTATTCCAAAGGGAGAAACACAAATTTGATTCTCAATGTTTGACCTGTATATCAAACTAGTCTCTAATGCATCAGCAAAACAAATATGGTCTTTAAATTTTCTGATTTTAACTTTGCATTTTTAGTCTTTAATGTTTGAAGTTTCAATCAATATGGTCTCTTAAGTTTCTAGTTATTATGGTTAGGGGTTTTAAAATGTAAAAAAAAAAAAAAAAAGAGAGTTGTGAATTGAATTAAAGATTGACAAATGTCATCCTAATTCCCTATAAAATTTCATAAAAACACTTTATATCAACATAATAACATCATTGAACTTAAAGAGATTTTTTTTTGAATGAGTTACAATCAAATGACAATATATACATAATATATAAAATTAAAAAAAATGAAAATTCTAGTATTAATATAAATTTTATTATCATTCATGCTAGTTCTTGCATGGCTTGTGCATACAGGCCTTAAATTGTTATAGTTAGGAATTGTAATTATGAAAAGGAATTGTTATAAAAACTAGCAAACATAAATACTAATATGAAGTGCTTTTACTCGTTATGGGTTAATGATCAGTTAATTACTCATAGTATAAAACAATAATTACATATATAATACAAAATTTGAATCCAATTATGCCAAAGCGAAGAAATATATAAGACATTAGTGGCATGAATAAATGAAGTAAAAAGTAAAAAAGTTTAATTAGAATTGCTAGAATCCATTTAAGACAATTGCGTTGTAATTCGCATATTATTTTATCCTAATACCCTCAATATCACTATTGAAAACTTAAGCGACTAAAATGATTAAAATTTCAAACATTAGGGTTCACAAATATAAAGTCAAATTGTTAAGTAATAGTAATCAAATTTTGACCATTGGTTATTGTTGAGTTTTTGTCATTGTTGAATGTATCTACTACCAAAACTTTGAGAACCAAATTTATTTTGGTCGGAACATTGGAGACTAATTTAGCACATGTGCTAAAAATTAGAGACTAAAACTATAATTCTCCCTTTTCAAAAAAAAAAAAATCTACACTCTTTTTTGTTCTATTTTTGTGTACACATATAATTTTTTTTTTTCACCTTTGATGTCACACAACGGTCCAAACCGACTAACATCAATTAATAGACTCAATTGTTAAAATGACTTTATGAATTGTGAGGATGATAATATATAGAAAAATTCTGTTTAGTAGAATTTGGGTAAAAAAAGGGTGCGTTTCATAAAATTAAAGTTTGAAAACTAAAATCTGAAGTCTGAATTCCATTAAGTTAAGTTGTTGAATTGTTATTAAGCCTTATTTGATAATCCAATTCAGCATTTAAAGTTAATAGATTCAAATATTAACATGTTCAGATGCATTTGATAATCAAAAATTGTACATCTAAATTAGTTAAATGACATTAAATTTTCTAGGCAAAACTTGCTTCAGAAAATAAAATGACACTGAATTTCCTAAACAAAACTTGCTCCAAAAATTAAGTGATAAGTTATTCACTTATCACTTAATGTGATATACATTCAAATATATCACATTTAGTACTTAATAATTCAATAATTTAATGAATTCATACTTCAGGTTTCAGTTTTCAGACTTCAATTTTATCAAATGCATCCTAAATCTAATACATTTGAATGTATTTTAGAGTAAGTGAATAACTTATCACTTATATTTTCGAGCAAGTTTTACCTAGAGTATTCAATATTGCTTAATTAATTTAGACATTCTATTTTTGGTTATCAAATGTGTTTGAAGATGTTCATATATGAATCCATTAAGTTTAAGTGCTGAATTAGACTATCAAACTGGGCCTAAATCATTTGGTATAAATCACATTTTATTAGTATAGTAAGTGGAAGAACTAGGGTATAAACCCTCATTTTATCAAAAAGTCATTTCTGGCTTGGAAAAAAAGGGTATAAAACCTCATTTGTCATACAAAAGAGGGGGCGAAATATAAATACAATTCTCATTTGCCATACAAATTAACAATCCATTAACTCTACTGGGAATGAAACACTGGTAAACTCATAAAATAATGGCTGAAAAACTTGCGACAGCAAAAACAGAAGAAAAAGCAAAAGAATTGGAAGAAGAAGCAATGAAAGTGGAACTGAAAACCAAGGAGGAGCTGAAGCCCTGGGAGCAGCACTCTGCTGTGATCACCATTCCTCGATTTGACTACAACACCTCTTCTTCTCTCCTCAGTCATTCCCACTCCGGATTCCTCATCACCTGCCCCATCAGTAAGGCCTCTCAATCTCTTCTGTCCAGAAAGTTATGTTCTTTTTCTTTGTTATTTTTGTACTTTATTGGCATTTATTTATGTAATTTGCATGTGGGTTTTTGAAAACTTTCAATTTGATTGTTTGGAATAGTCTGGGCGGTGTGGTGATTGATAAAAATGCTTCCTTTGTTATGTAGAGAGGGAGAAGAGTGCAACAAAAGAAGCCATGTCAATTCTTGAAAAGGTAATGAATTCTGCTCTTGTCTCTTGTCAGTTCTCTGGAATAATGTCAAATAAGGACATTTTAGAAATAAAGAAAGTTCATGCTAACTTGAGAATCAGGACAGTTAAATTGGTTTAGTGAACTTGGTTTTATGGGATTCTTAAATTCTGGCAAAGTTGGGAACTTGGGGTAATCGTAAGTGAATAAGACCGTAGCGGACTAGAATTACTGGTATAATGTGTTCGCTGCTGTAATTGTTTTGGTTTAAGATGAAGAGTAGCAATGTTACGGAATTGGTTTATAAAGAAAGAGATGTTTGAATGATTAAGCATAAGTAAACGGCGAATGGGATGGCAACTAATTGATAAAACTGATGAAGTTTTCCAAACTGGGTGAGCTATGCAGTAGGTAGGCACAGGCATGTTGTGTTGTTCAAATGCATTAGGTATTGAGGGGTTCGACATCCAAAATGCAGCACTGGTTAAATTCTTTTATCACTCATAGATTTCCAGTGTATATATATATGTGAGTTACCAATTTCCTTGAATTTGAAGATTCTTATGGATACATAGTAACCTTAGCTTAAGCTTGAGCACATAACTCATACAGGTTAAGCACAAATTCACCTTACTAATACGGAACCTTTGCATTGTTTTCCTTGAAAATAAATCAGAAACAATAGATAGAAGATATGCAATATTTTCTGCCATAAGAAAATTTTTTTAAACATAAAAGCAATTTAATAAGTGCATGGTTATATTTCTCTAAAGAATGACATGGTCTTAAGTGATCATATTTCTGGAAGGAGAAGACCATTAGTCCAATTTTGTTAGGCATTTGAGACATCAGATATTGTATGCATGAAATATATAGCTGATTGCCAATCATCTATTTTGAGTTCTCAAGAAATAGATATATAAGCTTCAGTTTTGCTTATAACATTAAAAAGGCATTCTTCATTGCAGCAGCTTTGGATAATTGTCTTTTATTCATACCTAAAGGTACTTGTATAGGCATGAGATGTTGCACTCTTCTAGGGCCCAAATAATAAGTGGACAATTTAGAGTTAGCTTAAAATCTTTTGGCAGACAACTTGTTTGGAATTGTTTTTGGATATATTTACACCAGAAGCCAAGTGTTGCTGAGGCTTATCACTATGTGAAAGAAATGAATGAGTTTTAATTATATTTGAAGTCCCCTCCAAAGCCTGTATCATTTTTATTTCTTGGACCTCTCTTGTTGCAAAAGGAAGACAAATAATGAAGCAACTTGGAGAATGGGAAGGTGTGCATCTGGTGCTTGCAAGATTCTATTCTTTTGACTTCATGGAACTTTATAAAAGCTGTGTGTGCTGAATGTTTTCTTAGGGCTTCAAACTGATGTTGTTATATTGACACATTATACGTTCTATTCTTTTTTTCTGAATGCCATCAATATTCACGACTGATGCAACGAATGAAGAGTTTAAAGGAAGAGTAAATTTAAATATTCTTGGAAACTTGGCTGAAGATCCAATTTACCCACTTTGAAGAATGGGTAGTCTTTTTAGGATCTTGAGTTATTTATTAAAAGTTTAAATTCTATATATTTCAGGAGACTTAAAATTTGTGGTGCTTTAGCAGCTTATTGGTATTTTATGTTTTATGGGTATTGGGTAAACTGACAGTGGAGGACACTTCGGCCGTTGTTTGAGACCATAGGCTTATTCATTGACTTTGATGGAAGGGATTTTAATTGAAATGTTGGGATTCGTCACCTCAATTTCCTGTCATAAGATATTCTGGTCCCCAGGGCTGAGCTGAAGCCCAGTACATATTTCATCTACTACTGTACACACACCCACAGACCCAGGTTTGTTAGGCCATCCATGAAGGAGTTATTTAAGTCATTCATTGGTGAATTTTTTATGCATCTTTGTCTTGGAAGTGATGTCCTAAACCTTTGTGTCATATGTGGCTTTCTTCCTGACTTTTTACTCCCATCTTCCATTGCATGTGGTAGTTTCTTTTCCTGTCCTTGAATATCCACCAATGAGAAAGTAAGAGTTGAACCTATCTTCCCCACTGTCAAATAACATTCAGTGTTAAAAGCTTGTGTTAAAATTTTGTATCAATGAGTTTGCTGCTTTTAAGACTATCAGTTAAAAGAGTTCAGGACATTTTTACTGGTCAGCAGCCTGTGTAAGTCAGAAGCTACGTTAGTGTACTTCTAATGGATTTCAAAAGCTGGGGAAGTGCTTTGTTATCTGGGCATGGGTCTTAAGCTTGAAGCATGCTCTATGTTTTTGGAATAGTGAGTTGCTGAAGTTGCGCACTAAATAGAGCTCTAGGATACAATAACTATCTGTATTCTTCTACATCCATCAGTTGCAAGTATAGAAGACTTTTATATCCTGATTGCTGATTGAAACCTGAAGAATTCCATGAGAACAGAAATATCTGTGACCAATCGAACTATTGAATTTTAAGGATGAGAGTCCCTCTGAATCCTTTTATGGAGATAAGAGAATTATGTGTCAAATATAGATAATCTTTTCTTGCTGGCTATTCTATGTAAAGTGTTTTGTCATGGAAACTGGTGGAGAAATGAAGTGAGTCTGGCTGGTGGTGATCTATTGTCATTCTTTAATTTTTTTTTCATTAATTTTTTACAAAATTTGATTGACTTTTAGCTCTTTTGATCTTAGAAGAATGCTTCTTTCTACAACTTTTTTGCTAACCCGGTTCTATCTTGATAGCTATAGTACTTTATGAAATCTTGGTTAAAAGAGTGACAATTAGCACAAGGATAATCAGAAATTGATTGTACAACAGATGGTCTAGTGGCAGAATACTCGAGTTTGGGAGCAATTCTGACATAATTGTTTGATGTGATTGTTAGCAGAGAAATTGCAGTTAAATGAAATCCAGTTATTGAAGACAGTTGCCTTTGGCTTTTATATACTTATGCAACCGAACTTGTGCAGAAGCAGCATGCATGATATTTTTCACCGTCATACCTTTTTTTGGGGTTTAGTTGATCTGATCGGTTAATCCAATTTCATATATATGAACTATCTCAATGGGAAAGCCTGCTTGCATCTAAAGGGTGTAAAGTGTAGTAATCAGCTTAGTGTCTTGTTACCTAACTGCAGTACATTTTCTTACATGTGTTGTGTATGTAAAGCTAAATAGGTTAATTCACGTTAAGTCACATTTATGTTCTGTGAGATGTTGACCAGTTATATGGTTAAATACTCTCTGCAGTATTTCGGACCTTTGAGTGGTCTAAATGCTGAAGGTTTTGAAATTTTGGATGCGAATATGTCAGCTAAAGGGATGAGAATATCAGAATACTCGAGTATGGAGGAGGAACTTGGCAGCCGTATGGAGAGGAAAGATGCAGCCGATGACTTTGGAGAACCTGGTAATAGTTTAAGTCTGGTATTTTAGTTTATACACATGCTTCTACAGATAATGCAAATTATAATGTATAACTACCTGCAAATCCCTCTATATATATATATATATATAACTACCTGTAAATCTACAAAGAAAATGAAGAAGCTGGGGATTTGTCTGCAAGAATAGGTAATATGACTTATATGCATGAAATACTATGAACAAGTTAAGTTAGAAAAAATATGTCACTATAAAGAACAGGAATGAGAAGTTAATAGAAGGGGAAGAGTAAAGAAAATACCTTATGATAGCTCCATCCCTGTGACATACTTGTTTAGCCTAGTTCGACTTTGTGTAAGGCTCTATTACTGCCCATACGCATAAAATCTCAACCCCCCCCCCCCCCCCCCAAAAAAAAAACCTTTAGCAAAAATTTTCTGTGTACCCAGTTTGCTACAAATAGTTTATGTGAGAGGTGTGTATCTGTGAAGGTTTTGGCTTCTTAATACAAGAGATAGAGTTCAAGGCAAGATTTGGTGGATTGCAAGTTACAAAGAATTGCTGGAGAAAAATTGTGCAATCCAAAATATTAGAAGGCAGAGAAGAGATGAAATGGGATTTCCCTCTAAAAAACTAACAGATAGCTTCATTTCATTAGAAAATTAATTGTGAGTGCATGAACAGAATGTACTCTAAAAAAGTTGTACAAGTTTTAAGAACTCGTGTTGTTTTACTGCCTATTGTTTCTTTCAACAGCCCTATATTGTTGTACGGTGTGAGAACTGGAGAAGAATAACAAACAATTCTTTTCTTTATCACAAAAGTGATGAAAGAATAAGAAAGATATTGTAATTCGGTACTTACAATAAAAACATGTAGATATTATGGTGTCTTAACTTCCCCATTAAGGTAGATAGTGGAGCAAAATATCTTTGACCGTACATTCAGCTAGCTAGGGCTTGATTATTTAGTTATCTATGACTATCAAAATTACAGAAATCATGTTTAGAAAATAAGTATCAAAATGCACTAAGAATAGAGGACGTATTGTTCATTAATTAACTTGAAAAGCAAACAAAATATGATTGTGCTTCCTCTACTCACAGAAGATTAAAACATGAATTTGACCAAAAAAACGAAGAACTTAAACTATGTACCAATTTTGGTATGTAGTCGGTTTGGCAGAGAATTTGAGTTGGTTTGGTATGTAGGCAACTTATCACAGACTGCTGGTGGTGGTGGTGGTGGTAAACTCCGCGCTCGGAAAATCGAGAATTAAATGCCAGCTTTAGGCTTAGAGGTAACTTTTGGTTCCTGTGGATCCCTAATTTATGGTTTCGGAGGCTTCCATTATTTTCCTCCTCAATATCATGGTCATAGTCCAATGCCCCTACAGCAAATTGGCCCAAATAAGTTTGCTACCCTTTGGCTCGCAACTGTGGGGCAAAAATCACCACATTGTGCTAGGTTGAGCGTGTTCACCACTTCACCACTTGAGGAGGAGGAGCATTCTGCTACCCCTCTTTGGGAGGGGAAGAAGGAAGATGATTCTTCTTATAGGAAGGAGATGAAGAAGGAATCTTGTTTTGTTCCCAACATTGTATTAGACAATAGTCTTCAACTCGAGGTAGAGGAGCATGCTCATTTCTATATTGACGCTATTGACGCAAAGACAGGATACAAATCAAGGACAGATTTTATTTCGATCACATTCATGACAATCCTCATCTGGAAGAAGAACAAAATCTAGTAGTACACAAGAAACTGCTGCAAAAATCTGGTAGAGCTAATCTGAAAGCATCTAAGCTAATTTGATACAAACTGGATGAGGTACTCATCAAGTGTGGTGTATTTAACATCAGGATAGAGCTCCGTTGCCTCCATGCCAAAAGAAGCCTTGATCTCAAAGTTGGCTATTTCTCCCTTCACGAAAAATGTGTATGCCAAAGACAGGAGCAATTTTAATGGCATTGAAGCCTCTGCGAAAGATACAAGAAAAGAAAGCAATTTGATTAGAACGTGGAATAGTAGATGCTATTGTATTAAAAATTAGCAACTTGTGCACTTTTTTCTTATTGTTAGATGACCTTGAATTTTCTTAAGAACTTCGTCCCCTGGAACGTAGATCTTTTCGAGGGTCTTGCCAATTTTCTTTTCCCACAATGATACTATTTCGTTGTAGGACAAGGTGTTGGCAGGGGGTGTAATGTACACACTCTTGTTCAGAGTCCTTGGGTCATCTGCTGCTTTGATGGTGTATGCAGCAATGTCTTCTTCCTTGGTGAAAACAACTGCAACGAAACATGAAATTGAAGAAAAAATTGAGAACTCTAAAAGATGATACTAAACCAATCAAGATATGCAGCAGACAAGCCCCTTTCGGACACCTTTTGGATTTCCATCGCCAAGAATGACAATTTTGTCTCTGGGAGGACTTGCAGAGAAAGAGTCTCCAAAGTTGTTGAGGATATAATTCAAGTAACCAGCAAATCCGTTAGATACTAAATAAGTGTAAGGTATCCCTTCTGCCTCAATAGCTCTGCGGATCTCAACCTTGGTCCTGTTTAAGCTAGCAGCAGGCTCAACAGCGTTCGCACGATCCACATCAACCCCAAATTCAGAAGGTAAAAATCTCTGAAACCAAATACAGCTCCTTCTTTAGGAATATGGAAGTCACAACTCACAAAGGGACAAACGCAAAAAATAAAAATCAAGAAAGAATTTGTAACACTGTATTGTGCTTACTTTGATGTTTCCAGCTTCTTTAATTGCTTCAATAATCTTAACTTGATGAGCTACCAAATCTCCCCCGACTGCAGAGATCACTATGTCAACTTGTTTGATTGCATTTACCAACTGCTGATGATTGTGTAGATCTCCCTGTTCAGTCCATGCGTACATGTCAGTTTCTATAATTTCTTGAAAAAAAATTGAAACACTATTTAGACAACGAAGAAAGAAATAACAGCACACATGAAGAAATATGACTCCCAAACTCTTGAAACTCTCGATGATGGCTGCCCTCTTAGGATCTGAAATTGTGCTTTCTCGGACCAGTGCAAACGTTGGGTGCCCTGCTTTTGCGCTCGCTTCCACTAAATATTTCCCGATGTTTCCAGTGCCCCCAATGATCAAAATCTTGCTTTTCACATCCATTTCCAACTCTAGGATAGTAGACTACTGCTGCAAAATTGGATGGAAACCGTATATTGATGGGTTGAACAGATGCAGAGATGTGCTTCGTGCCTATAGGCTGCAGTTTCCTTTTGATGCTCTATTGGCTTCTGAAATTTCTAACGGATTCTATTATTCAATGGAAGATTAGACAGTTGAGCATTCTCAGGAGGTTTCCCAAAAAGTCATGGCACTAACGGATTCTTATTGGCCAAGATGCGCAATGTAATCGGAGATTGCGAAAGAGAAAGGTCAAAGCCAGTTGAATGTCCTTGTGAAACTACTCATATGGGAGATTTAGCGGTAGGATTTCGTCCCTGAATCGGTGATGACCAAACCTGAAGTAAGTGCTGACGAACAAAGGAATGGATAGAAGCCTGTATTCATAGGCATTTAATCCAAACAATACAATTCATATAAGTAATAGACACAGTTTGCTTAGACACTATAATTCAGAAACTAGTCAAGGAATGGAGTCAATCAACAGATTTATTACCTTTTTTGTCACAATCTATGGATGAGGATGGATTTAGCCATAAATCTCTCATTTTTAAGGGTCTCTCCTTTTTCTTTTTTCTTTTTTGAATTTCTTGCTCATTAATGTTTGTTGGGGCAGGTGGTATTTTGAGCTAACTTCTGTGCATTTTGGATTAGTCCAACTTCCAACCCTTAAATATTCATCCCAAGGACATAATTAAAGATGGTAGAGCTTCGCTAATTAAAAATCTAGTTTATTTGTTTAATATCCGACTTGGTAAGCTTGTCCAATTAGTGCTAAACCCTTAGGGCATGTTAATGTACACTAGTTTTTTGCCCTGACGCTGTGCGTCAGGTAGTTGGGATTTCTTAATTTACTATAATGGGTATTAGTCTGGAAAATTGGGGTGTGAGAGGAGTAATTAATTTACTACAATAGGATTTGTTAGATATAGTGTTTTTGTATGTGCATGGGGAATGGACATATCGATGAATAGATTTAATGAGAATTTTAATTATGATTTAAAGGTTTTAATACAAACAAAAAGAATGTTAAAATGATGGAGTCACCTGAGAAGTGGCATCGCGAGAATTTTAATACGAGTGTTAATTATTTTCCAGTTTTACAATTTTTGTCGTAAGGCGTAGGAGCACAGGATAAAAAGATATATTTATAAAGGAAATAGATAAACTGTCACCTGATAAAATGATAGATGTAGTAGAACATTTCTAAACAAGAACGGCCAAAATGAGAGGAAATTGTTTTGCATGACAATATGGACAACTTGGAACATCGGGCAATACAGCAGGTTCTGTAGCTATTGTAGTTAATGGATCAGTCGCAGCTCGTTTTCTAGACCGACGTTGCCTACGCAATGATGGTTCACCAGCATCTAAATTTGTTGATGGAATCTCGTTAGCACCATCAGCAATAGACGCAGATACATTTTGTTCATTTTCCTGCAAACCAGCCAAAGCATACTTAAGGACCATGAATTCAGTGTGGCTAAATCAGTCAATCTGAATTGTAATAGACAAAAACTAATATCTCACCCACTGGTTAGTCTAGCCATAGTACATGCCTAGATAAAACCACCGGTAATATAAGTAGTCTAACATTTATTGCAAGGGGTCTAAACAACAATCTTATTGCATGAAAGATGCTCAAAATAAGCACAAACATACGGTTGGAAATTGCTCTGCATCACTGAGCAATACTGCAGGCTCTGTAATTATTGTGGTCAATGGATTAGTCACAGAGCGTCTTGTACGCCGACGTCGCCTATGCAAAGATGATTCACCAGCATCTGAATTAGTCGTTGGAACCTCGCTAGCACCATTACCAGCAGACCTAGATATATCTCCTTGATTTTCCTTTAAAACAACCAAAGCATAGTTAAAGATTGTG